CGTTCCCGACCTTAGGAATACATTCAATTAAGCTTGCGCTAAAATAACTGTTGGCGAACACGAAGCTTGGATGGATACGGATAAAAAAACGTTAGAAACTAGACATCTCTTTGGAAGATATGTATAATAGATGTTGAGCGCGTTACATGTACGGATGAGAAAGGACCGGAGGTACCCTTGATGCGTGAGCCCGAAGTAAGAGAAGCTTTTAGCATCAGTAGTCTAGGACGTAGAGTCGACGTAGCTAGAGAAGGTTTTAGACGATGAAGATCATGCAAATAAACCTCCTATGCTCTAAGACGGTATCCGCGAATTTCCATGGCCACCTTCAACAAAGTGGAGCCGACGTATTCCTGATCCAGGGGCCGTGCTGAGCAATAAATTTAAGCCGATGATGCAGAAGCAAACAGGTAGAGGAACTCAGGATGTCAAGCAGGCTTTTCTTAACGAAGCTAGGAAGAGTGGACAACACTCCAACTGGGAACTCTACAAGGCAGGTCTGAGTATCTATAAGGCCGAAATAAGAAATGCCAAAAGGGAGTCATGGAGAAACTTTTGCGAAACCGTAAAAGATTGTCATGATTTAGGCGAATTCTCGCGAAGATTATCGTTCCTTGAGATACTTGAGGGTCGAAGAGGGCAACTGATTGATGAGGGGAATCGCTTAAGCTACTCCCATAGACTAATTTCCCAGCCAATTGTTCACCGTGTAAGGTAGGGTCGACTTTCCTACATCCTGCGATGAACTACTGGAGTATTGATTCTTTCAAGCATTTTGAAGTCTCCTGGACTGGATGGCATTATTCCTATGCAGCTTCAAAAGGCCATGGAAGAAAAAGTTTACATCCCCGGGGCTTTAAAAAGTATAATGGATACATTTATCTCCAAAGCAGGAGCTGCAGTGGAGTGCACTGAACAGGAAATCCACAGTTACTTAAGCTACAGAATCATTGCAGTATCTATCAAGCCAACGTCTTTGGACTACAGAATGCGAAAAACCGACTACATTAAATTAAAAAGCCAAGCGAGCTTATAATCATTTACATAGATAGATAAACACAAAACCAGCAACCATGGCAGACTGTAAGGAAGATTTAATAAGGTTATAAAAAGGCTTAATGCGGCTAAAACAATATGCCTGCATTGGGTCCCAAGACACTAAGAAGTAGAAGGCATTGAAAAAGCTGATAAGCTAGACTAAGGGGCCGTTCTATTAGACGTCTCATTACATAGTAATGGATATCCGATTTTTTTTTTTGGGAAATCAAATGATTAGAAGGTATGCTAATGTGCCACCAGACGGGTTGGTTGTAGACTCGCCAACATTATTTTAAGTTCATATGCTAGAAACATACTGAAGAAGAATATGCTTTCTAGAATCCCATGGGTTTAAACCAGGTCTTATGCAACACAAAAAGTGTACGAAGTGGAACTATCGCAAGAAGACTGTGAAGCATATATATTGCGTGTGTCCAGCTTTCAGCTGACGAAGGTCTGCGTTACTTGGCAAAGTACACCTGCAGGGCCTGCAGTCAGCATTCGACAAGGACCAGTAAGTTCACTAAAATTCGCAAAATGAACGGCAATGTTTTTTAACATTTCGTTAATGCACTTATTCATGGGTCGTAACCTAATCTGGAAACACTACCGGTTTTATCTTCGTCTACTTAACTTAGACAAGGAATATATTTTTGTAGGAAATATACAAATATGTCGGAACATTAAGCGGTGGACATAGGAATCAAAGGTGTAATAAACCCTACTATGACAATCAGCCAGACTTGGTTACGGTGCATCTTTGTCTGGCAGAACGATGCTGTTTTTCCGCCGCTCATGGAAACAATTAAGAATAGAAAATGAAAATTTACGCTTCAAAAATAACTACAGAACTACAAAGCTTCTTATGGTATGTTCAGAATCCCGGAAACTTCACCAGAGCGCACTCTTTCTAAAGCCATTTACTGATCGTCGTCCCAGCTCACCAACCATGGAGGATCAACAGTACTTCGTGACGGTACATAAGGACCTTCTATAGACGAAGTTAAAAATTCTGAATTTCGTATGGAAAGATGCAGGTCTCTACGTGACAAGTGGTGAAGAAAGCTTGAGTTGCGTTACCGATTCATTTACAGAAATTATTTCTGTTATCGATATGTTTTCATCCCTTATTACCACGTTTATAACAACTCGCTTTTTTACCGCAACAACATGGTTTGCCAACTGGCGCCAAGAGCAAATTTCCGATACATTAATGGATAAGTTTATCTATAAGTACCCACATCTATATTCATTGATAATACTATTGATTTTTAGGTATTAATATATCGGCCAGTTTGATAAGTTAGAGTTTATTTTAAGGAACAATTTCTTTCAATAAAAAAGCCGTCTTTCAAAATTTTTTTGGTTCCCATATACTTTTAGTCATGGCTTTTTTATCCAACCAAAATCTTTTACCGTCGAGTCTTTTCTTTAGTTTTAGAAATAGTAGATGGGGGTTTAATAAGAAGAATATGCCGGATGAGGCAGCAGTTCGTTATGACGACCAAATGAAATTCACTTTTTTCCGTTAATAGAAGGATGTTGGCAGGAGCAGTGTTGGATCAAAAATGCCTACGCAGAAGATTTAAAAAAGCCCTTGACTTATCACACTGTCCTCTTATATCCTACAACAAAATATCTGTCCTACAATGTCTGCATAGAATTTTCGCTTTATACGTTTTTTACTACCTATGTATCTTTATGGTAACAGAATAATGTCAACTTTGCCGGCAATCGCAACAAACCAAGTGAGATCCTTAATTTTCTATTTTTTCTTCTAAAAATTCTAAAATCGCATATTCACAATTGCATTGGTCTCTACAATCCAAGCTCCGTCGAATAAGTGTCTATATGTTAATGTGCGCCTTGATCTTTTGCAACTGATTTGCACGTTTTACATCAAAGATTGATTTCTCGAAACCACGAACAACCGGCAAGCCAAACATGAATGGAAAAACAAATAAGAATAAGAATTTACCTACTCGTAGTAGCATGCATGCACGCTCACTCACTCACAGGAGTTTAAGTGAATGAAAATCTAAATTTAGATTCTATATATTATATGCCATTTGACATTCGCGCCAACAACCGGTCGCAGTTTTGCATGGTACCGCGGTCGTACGGTCGATTGGTTAAGCTAAGCAGCCAGCATGCCAGCCAGCCGTTGGCAACCAAGTGTGTCAACCGAAAAATGTGCGCTCCGAAACGAAACCACCTTGAAATTGTTGTTGCTGTTTTTGTTGTTACTCCTGCTGCTGTTGCTTAGTGGGAAAGTGCAATGTTGCAATATGTATATTTACAATATTTTTGTGTAATGTTTAAATCTATGCTAAGATGTACGTATGTGTATATGTATGTGTATAGATGTGTATGGGCTAAGCTAAACAGAAACCGAAACCAGAATAGAGGTGACTAGTTCGGGGTGACTAATTCATACATTGTTAATAAAAAGAGGCAAAATTTAAAATAAGGGGAAAGAAAACTATCTGCAACGCGGAATCGGATTTTGAGTGCGGTTGGCAGCTGAAAGTGAACCGGCTTGAGTTTTAAAGCGGAAACAGGCGGCAGCGTTGATCCAGGTCAACTCGGGAATTAACTACAGTTGATCCGGATTAAGTCTGTTTAAGCTTTCACTTTATTTTATTAACCGACTTCACAAAAAGGAAAAGGTAATCAATTCGTCGCAATATTTTTATTTTTTTTTTTTGTTTTATGTATGTAACCGCATAAATTTGGACCACGTCAACCGAGAATTCTTTTTCCATCGGAAAACTAGTGTCTCACAGGTGGTCCCATTCTAATTTGGTTTAAATCCGATCATTGGATCATGAAGAGATTAACGATAATCTTAAATTTGTATATGAGATCAATTCTCGTCGGATTTGTTTTTCGCTTATTTTTATTATTT